CCCGCTGCTCCAGAGAGGCGATCCGGTCCGTCACCTCCATACTGCTTGCCGCCGAGGCACTGTCATCTATATCACACAAAAAACCCTCAAGTATATGGAAAACTAATGCTGAAATAATGCTACAAAATTTTAGAACTCAAGATTTTATCCAGTATATAACAGCATTTTTTTCAGTTGTTAGTAAGTACCACTGCTAAAAATAGGGTTCTTTAAATAGGGTTCTCCATAAGTGCCTCAAAAACATTATTAAATTATTAATATATAAATTATTAATAAATGTATTAATATATTAATAATGGTTCATTAAATATTACAGATGTGTCTGAATGTGGAAAATATTTACTTCCTATTACATTCTATTTTTATTGTTACTCACCACTAAATTCATTTTAGATACCATAAAACTATGGCTGTCAATAAATAAAATTGACAAATAATTCTCATGATTTACCACTGTAAAAATAAATAAAAGTAAAATAAAAATAAAAAATAATAATTTTAATGGTAAAAGACTGTAAAAATTATATGATAAATTTGTTAAATAGTTAACAGTAAGCTTATTGGGGAAAATAATACATCTAATGTGACATTTCATGTAATTATACAGTAAAATAATGCTACATTTATGTTAAAAAATTATGTAAAAATAATGTTTTTGGAATTTAAAATAAATTATTGTTAAATTCTGTAAAAAGGTTCTCAAAAGGCATCAGGCTAATTGAAACCTTTTTATTTAAGAGTCTGACTCTGAATATCAAAGAAAAGCGAAAAATGTCAAGTAAAGCAGAACCCTGACATCACACATCCCACTTAATTATCCAGTCCATTCTAGTTTATTTCCACCCAAGGTTACCATCAAATTCAAGCCAAAAGCCTCATCCAGCATGGTGCTTTTGAAAGAGTCAGAGAAGGACGGCCTAACATGTCCCTCTTCATTTCATATAAACATGCTGATGGTTTTTGCGGCACCCTTCCCTAACAGCTGCTGACTCTGAGAAACCCC